GGAAGCAGTTCTCTGAATTAGGATAATGGCATCAAAAAATAATTGATGAGTGAATAATTATTTAAAATTGGATGGCTCTTTTCTTCTTCAACTCTCTAAGAGAGAAAGAGGATTGCAACCACCCCACACCCAAAATCTGCACCTCAACTTCCCAGGGAGCAAACAGGTTCTACTCTCACCTTCTTTTTTCCTTCCCCCATGGACACACTGTATTTTGAATTCAGGAAGATATTTAACAAAATAACTTATAGTTTTATAAGCATGCTGAGTAACTATGAACACGACAATAGGATGCTGGTTCCCCCTCCTTCAGCTGCTCCAAGTTTTTTGGGGGGGGGGATTTTTGTGTATAAATATATGTTATGAGTTACTATTTTAACCATTTTTAAGTGTACAATTCAGAGGCATTAAGTATGTTCATCAAACATTTTTAAATATTTAAAAATTGGGATAATTCCGGTGTCCCACAAAATAAATTAAGCAAGTATGGTTAGAATCTTCCTTTCACATTCTCTATCCTATTTATCTTCCCGTGACAACTCTGAAGACGAGCCCTCCTGGGAGGGATCTGTCAAAGAGCTACCTTCCTGATGTGCCCTGAAGAGAGGTCTTCCTTGTATAGGATCCAAAGAACAGACAAGGTGGCTTGGCCAAGAGATAGATATATCTGTGCTTGATCTATTTATCAAAGCTATTTTTCTGGGCATACACAGATTTTTTTTTTTAAAAAGCTGGTTATTCAGAAATTGGCTACGCCTGCCAAACAGGATCGCCTCTCTTCCTTACCATCCCTCTTCTAAAAAAGAAGAGGGTGAAATGAGACCATTAGTAAAACAAAGGCCGTCTGCAACTCCAGGCCCAGTGATGAGAACAGAATTGTGGTTGCCAAGGTGCCAGGGGCAGATTGTATGGAGAGCTTTAGAGGACAGCACCAGGCGACACAGAAAGTATCATTATCTTGTCAAATGTTACTCATGTTGTATCTGTTCCATCAGACACTGCTGTGTTCTGTGACCTTGGACAAGATACTGCCAGAGAGCTGTTCTGAGGGCAAATAAAACACCACCTGTCAAAGTCACTAGCCCACTGCGGGGGGTATTGTAAGGACAAGACGAATATTCTTTCACGTGCTTATATTCTCCCTCCTTCCTGTGGAGGGCTGTTGCTACAGCTTTCTGGTCAGATTCTCCCTGATTTGGATTCCCCTTATTTCAAATCGGCGACTTTTTGACCTGGCGTATGATTTTCCCTCTGCACTGGTTAGAATTCGGGAATACTGGGAGATGGGAGCTCCTATTTTCTATCTCCCAGGGCATGAAAGAGAAAGAAAATCTTCAAGAGCTTGTAGAATGGAATCACATCCCAAAAGCTGGAAGGGACACTCGGGTTCATCTAGACTATCCAGGTGACCAACACACAAGTCCCTTCTCCTGTTTCTGGGGCAGGTGCTCATCAATCTCTGCCAAACCCTTGCTCTGATCAGAAGGGCTCACCACCCCACAAAGGAATGCCCCTTCTAGCTTTTGGCAACAATCAGTGCTAGTTACTTATTGAGTATTTTGTAGCTACTTAGGAAGAAGGGTTTTGCTAAGTAAAATACTTTGTAAAGCAGAATTTCGAAAATATTTCCAGGACTCAATTACATATTCACTGATCCCCTATTATGTGCCAGGAACCATCAGGGGGCAGTGGATATAAAGATGAATGAGGCAAATAATTTCTGTCCTTAGAGAGCTCATTTTTCAGTGCAGGAGAGAGCTACGTAGATTACCATATAACAATGCTGGAAATACCTGAGAGGCAAAAGTACAGGCCATTATGGAAGCACCATGGAGACACTCCCAATTCAGCTTGAGGAGAGGCATTCTACAAAGACTTCTAGAAGGTGTGGCCCAAGCTAAGACTTGAAGGAAGAGCCATATTTTGTAGGCTAGATGGGCTTATGTGAATAAATGTTACTAATTTGCACTAGTTTTGTACAATTAAAAAAGCAACCATAAAGGGTATGTACCTCTAAACTTTGTATTCACAGTTTGATCTAAAGTTAAAAAATTACATTTTAAAAGTTAATAATTTGGATTTTCCACTATAGATCATTGGCTTTCAAACTGAATTCTAGGAACCCTAGGATATTTTTGTGTGGGGAGTGAGGTTTGTTAGGGATCTTGGTCCAGGGAGTGGTAGAGGCTGAGAAGACAGGACCCCAGGCCCTCCCCAAAAGAGCTTCATTGTCCCTCCTGTTACATTTATTCGTGTTGAGAGTAATTTTTTTTTTAAATTAGAAAATGGGGTTCTGATATTAAAGTATGTTTCAGTCTACAAGGGGAGACCAACTTCCCAAAGAAGCAGGTTTCTTGCATACTCTCCAACCAAGACTAATTCACTCAGCTGGATGCTTTAAAGCAAAGCACCAAAAAATCCTCCCACCTCTTGTTATCTTTGCCTGCTCTGCAAGCATGACCCTCGAACCTCCCTCCAGGCAGTGAGCTTGTAAAATAAAGAGGTAAATCCGAGGAAATTCATCACTACTCTGAAGAAAACATCCTCAAGAAGCATGGTTTATTAATGGTGGGGCAGTGGCACTTTCATGTACAAAGACAGCAGATTATTATTCTTTAGAACAAATCTCATTATAACGAATACTGTTATAATAAAATATCTTCCTATGGAATAGGTCTATAAGTCCTATTTCACAAATCAATATGTTAAGTAACACCTGAAATAAAATTCTGGAACTAATGAATAATTGGGCAGTTCCTTCATGTTCATTATTTTGGAACTTTACCAGTAGTGTACATTTCAAAACACAAATATGCTTCTTTTTCATCGTGAACATAGAATAAGAACTTGGTTTTCTGAGATTTTCACCTTTCAAATATAGGTGGTTGTATCAAAAGACACTGACTTGTTTTCATAGCTCCTTAGCCTCAAGGAAGATTTTCATAAATCTTCATACAATGACTGTCCTCATGCATTATTATAAAGCTACATGGAGAGAAGCAGATCTAGCTTCAGGTCGGAAGAAAACATTAGATTAAAAGAAAACATTAGATGAATAGCTTCCCTGGGTCATATTGGAAGCCAACAAGGAAGCCAGAATGAGTCCCAAATTAATGAATTGAATGAACTGAAATCTGAAAGACAGCTTGCTCCGTTGAGCAGCGCACGGAATGCCATTGCTCCTTAGACACTGTCATTTTTTCTAGGAAAATCTAATATACTTTGGGTATGCCCACAAGGGGAAAGAAGAACACGAAGATGCAACTGCTAAGACTTTCTTTCCGAAACCTCTCCCCACCCACTGCTGCTGGGTGGTGCCTCATTCACCTGTTACCGGGGGGAAAAGTGAGTCTTGCTTGTGGACCAACACTCAGGTGAGCCTGCGGTGGCACCACTGTTAGGGGCAAGTGTCAAGGAGACTCACTTTTCCACTGCTAAGCTGTCTGCACTCATAATACGAAAGAACAAAAGGAACATTACAGAAACCCACTTATGGGTTTTCTAACCTGCTCATAAAGATGACAAATAAGCTAGTCAGCCAGTTGGTAGGGTCCAGGCAGGAGGAGTAGGAACAGAGAAGAGCTGTGAGCAGCACAGTACACGCAGAAAGGAAATCCCACAACCTGCTGTCGATTATTTTCCAGACTCAGTTTTCATAAAAAACACTTTCTTTAATGGAAAACTCACTGCTCCTTGACACAATTAGTTTGATTCACTTAGGAAGTCTATTTAGCATGCTTTACAGTTGTTTCTAGATCTAATTATCAAGAAATTATCATTATTTTTGTTAAGGATGATAATGCACCATGATTATGTAAAATTTAAGAAAAAGTCCTTATCAGTGTGAGATACATAGCGAAGTGACATGATGTCTTGGATTTTCTTCAAGACGCTCTGGCAAAAATGACAACAAGTCGGGGAAGACAGGAAGATAAGACCGGCCAATTATGGAACTGGGCGATGGGTACATGGGGGTTCATTATATTAAACTCTCTCCTTTTGTGCATGTTTTAAAATTTTTTTCATGATAAAAAGTTAAGTGACTTTTTAAAAATAGGTCTAAAAAGCCACATCACGGCGTGCTCTTCTCGGGGTTCTCACACAAAAATGAAGGTCAGCTTTAACGCCTACCGCCAAACTGCTTTGACTCAAAAACACCGTCAGTTGGAAGGTCCATCATTCATTTAATAACAGTTTTTCAGAGGAAAGTAAACATGCAACATTAAAACTCACACTGATTATTAACTAATTCCAATTGCAGAATTGTTGAAAATGTGCAAAACATGCCTCAGAACTGAGGTAATCTGGTGACTTCTTTGTCAATTGTTAATAGGAATTGTTGTTAAAAGGGCGAATTTGAAAATAATGGTGTGCAAGGCCTCTGTTAGTTATTTTATTCATTCATCATTTATTTTATCATTATTTTAACCATTAAATTGGAATTTGTGTTAATTGCTTTAGTGGCCTTAGTAAAACCTGAGAAAGCAGATGCTAAACAGGTTTAAGAATGTAAATAAGCACGGGCTCTAGTGGCCTATACATTACCAGTCTAGTTTTAATATTGGATGTCAATGAAAGTAACACAACTGTAAGATTATAATGCCCAATGCACGTGTATCCGTGGACCTTGAAACTAGTTAGGACTATCGTTAATTCCCTGAGCATCAGCACCACTTCAGGAACATCTTAGGCAAGAAGAGCCGTGTCAGAAACACGAGGCCACCCCCACGTAGAGCTTGGTCTTTTTGAGAGAAGAAAAGATCTCAAGTTAGAAGTCACGGATCTAGAGCTAGAGAAGGGGTGACATTTGCCCAGAGGTTTTCTTTTCAGGGCGTCTGGACTCAGCTGCATTCGCCTAGCTCGTCCACATGTTCCGGTTTGGGGTGTGGAACTGCAGGGCTAGTCAACGGCAACTGGCAGGGAAGAGGACATTGCAGCCTCAAGACACAGCGGAAGCCCAGACCCCGGGGGTGTAGGGATGCGCGGGCTGCGTTACTTACTGTCTTCCGGTAGGTTGTTCTCCCGCTCTTCTCTCTCCATCTGCTGGCACCACCCTTCCATGCGGTCTCGCTCTGCCTGGAGAAGCTTCAGAAACCAGTGGCCGTCCCGGTGGCACACTGACCTCTGGACGGCCTCCAGGGGGTCTTCGGTGATGGAGTCAATCCAGGGATCCGGGGGAGGCAGAATCGAAGGGTCAAAATCCGCGTCAAAGTCATCGTCGGCTGCGCAGGCGTGGTAGTGGTTTCCTGAGCCCTGAATGCTGACGGTGGAGGTGCTGGCGTCCCGGGAGAACTGTCTGGCCACGGGGCCGGGACACGAATTGTCCTCTATAGACTCCAGAGAGTTTTCCAGATTATCGTGGAAGTCCAGGTCGGCCTGCACTGCTGTCGTCACACTGTTGGATCGAGTGAACCTGCGGAAGCTTGGAGGAATAGAGAAAAGAGATTTTAGCTCAAGGGGGTTTTTTTTAAGCAAAATCATTCTGCTTTCCTTGGTGCATCTCATTTTCTCAGTCTGCGGAGGGAGGCCCTTGATGCAAGCATACTGATTGCCACAGCTCTTGTAGAAGGAACACAGGTCTCTCATCTTTGTTCCATACACAATATTAAAGCATATTTAGAGAAATTTTAGATGTGGAGCAATGTGTACAGCTATCAAAGCCAGTCCAAGGTCCAACTTCCTCCCCAAATCTGAGGTGGCATGAGTCCTAAAATTCAGGTTGGTGAGGGGTGAGGAAACAATTCAACTAGATCTTAGTCTGTGTAATTTGCTTAGAAATGGAGGGGGAGAAACCCTACCCAACTGAAACTGAGACTATTGTGACAACTGGCCTGAGACTATTGCGAATCCTGCATAACCACATTTTTCCAGGGACAGCTCTTACCAAGTATGACTTCCTGAAAGCAAACTAAAGAGTCATTAAGTTCCCTTAAAATTAGAATTCCTTTCCCTGGTAAGGATTCGCCTGTCTCTTGGTCATATAGGTCACTGCTATAATTTGGTACAAAGTCTTTAGGGGCAAAATCAGCTCACAGTTCTAGAGTTCTCCAGTACCCAACTCCTCTGTGCCTTTAATTTCCCGTCCCATAGTCCTTCTACCAAGGTGATAAAAGACAACTTGTTAACAGATTCAATCTGAGCATTTTATATGGATGTCTGTGCGATCTGCGTTTCTCAACCAAATGGCTCTATGTGTCTCTGGCTGATCCCTACAATGAAAGTGAGGACATATGGATGGTGGGAGGGGTGGGGAAGAAAAGAAGAGCAGTGAATTCTTTCTCAGACAAGGGGGCAAGAGAAGGTGTGGGCCTGAAGTAATTTAAAACACACCCAAAAAAAGCTTCCTTGGTTCCTGGAGCAGGCAGGAAACAATGATGAAGGATATGAGTCCATCGAAGGCAGCATCAGGTGTTGTTACCCCACTCTGTATTTCTTTCTTTTTTTTAAGGTGACTTCCTGACCTAATATTTAATTTATTTTTTATTGTGAAAAAATACACATAATATGAAATTTACCACTTTAACCATTTTCAAGTATATGACAGTTCAGTGGCATTAAGTACATTATTCACATTGTTGTGCAACTATCAGCATCATCCATCTCCAGAACTTTTTCATCTTCCCTAATTGAAACTCTATACCCACTAAACACCTCCCCATCCCCCACCCCCACCCCAGCCTCTGGCCACCACCATTATTTCTGTCTCTATAAATTTGACTATTTTTGGTCTCTCCTATAAGTGGAATCTAGAATATTTGTCCTTTTGTGACTGGTTTATTTCACTTAACATAATGTCTTCAAGTTTCATCTGTGTTGTAGCATGTGTCAGAATTTCCTTCCTTGTGAAGGCTGAATAGTATTCTATTGTATGTATATACCACATTTGTTTATCCATTCTTCTATTGATGGACACTTGAGTTTCTTCTACCTTTTGGCTATTGTGAATAATTTTGCTATGAACATGAGTGTACAAATAGCTCTTTGAGAACCTGCTTTCAATTCTTTTGAGTATATACTCAGAAATAGAATTGCTGAACTATATGGTAATTCTGTTTTTCATTTTCTGAGGAAATGCCATACTATTCTCCATAGCAACTACACCATTTTATATTCCCACCAACAGTATGCAAGAGTTCCATTTCTCCACATCCTTGCCAATCCATGTTTCCTGTTTTTTTGATAGCAGGCATCCTGATGGGTGTGAGGTGGTACATTTCTTGACTAGCTTCTGATTATGCCATTTTAAGATGGCTTATTTGCCAATTGATTTTCAGTTAATGTTTCATATTCAATAGTGCCAGCCTTAAAAGATAATGCACTAAACAGTGTCCATACAATATTTAATAAACCACATATATTTTTTCTTAACTCTCCTGGAACACTCTATTAAAGTTAATTAATACTAATACTCCGGTCCATTGAAAATAAAGAATGACCAGAGCAATACAGGTAAGTAGTTATTTGCAAGACTGTAGAAAGGCTGGAAGTCACAAAAAGGAGACAGTACAATCATCTCAATAAATCCACTTTTTTCCCTAGAGAATAAATTTCAAGAAAAAAAGTGGCTGCACTAACACTATCTATGTTAGTTATTAGGATGGCCAAAATGATCAGATATGTTGTGATCCATTTTATGAAGACAGACCAGCTAAAACTGGCCCATCTCACTGTTTGCTGTTTTCCAGAAATTACTTCTGTTGAAGGTATTAAGGCCTGGTCATTTTATAAGTTCTTTAACTCTCAGATGGGCCATTTAAAAAAAAATTACATAGGGGCTGGCCCCGTGGCCAAGTGGTTAAGTTCGCGCGCTCCACTGCAGGCGGCCCAGTGTTTCGTTGGTTCGAATCCTGGGCGCGGACATGGCACTGCTCATCAAACCACGCTGAGGCAGCGTCCCACATGCCACAACTAGAAGGACCCACAACGAAGAATATACAACTATGTACTGGGGGGCTTTGAGGAGAAAAAGGAAAAAAAAAATCTTTAAAAAAAAAAAAATTACATAGTGTAACAGCCTGACAGCAATGTTATAGACCTCTCATCTAAGCACTGAAAGGAAGAACCATGTTAGCAACAGCCACTCATTTCCTGGCTGCAGTAGGGCCATTTCTGCATTCTTCTTGTTCATCTCCAAAATGTTAAATGTCATCTCCTGAAACTGAGCTTTCTCTCCAGCTGCGTATGTGTGAATTGGATGACTCTCCTTGCAACAGTTGACATTCTGGCTGTTCTACTGACACAAAATCCCAACTATGAAAACACTAGGCTTCCCTCTCCAAGATCATGTATTGCCAGAGGCATTACATTTCCAAACTTAAAGAAGTACTAGTGCCTTATTGATTTCAATCGGAGCAGACTTGCCAGAGAGAGAGAGAGTCGGTTCCACACACAAAGCAGAATGACCTGCTGTCCTGTGCCTCTGTTTTTATCTACACAAATCCATACTGGCATTCCTGACAGAGGGCTCCTGGCTATGAATCTTGTAAAGTAGCCACCTTCCTAAGAAAAATTACTTGGCAGTAGATTAGTAGAAGTTTGCAGTTTAGTCACCCAGAAAGAAATAAAAGTTAAGTAAAATTAAAATGGTTTGGGATTAAAAGCGGTGCCTTTGAACTCAGGCAGCCCTGTCCAGGCTGCACTGTTTCTATCAGTTAAGTTCCTCAACCAAATGCTTTCTTCCATCCAGAGCTTTCAAAAAATGTTCTGCTCTAGAAAACATTTTATGTCTTTCATGTGCAAAGTTCCTTCTGGGTGAAGGGTGCAATCGAGTTGTTACTGTTGTTCTAAAATTTTGAAGGGAACCAAGAAAGAGACATTGGATTAATTCCGGTATTTTTAAGAAGAATAAATCAGTTGCTGGTGGATGGTATAAACCTAAAGCTGAACCCAGTGGCTGGCTGTTTCCAAACCCACAATTTCCAATCTTGAAGCTTCTTTGGTCCTTCATGCCTTGAAGGCACAATGTGTAATAATTACAACTTCTGAAAAGCACCGGCTAATATTTTGGCCTAAGGAGCAGAAAACCATGAAACCAAAGACTGGATCAACCAGTATGGGACACAATGCCCTGTCTGTTCTGAAGAGTGAAAGTCACTTGTTAGCATTCACTCTGCTGTTGCTTTGTGCTCCTTCTATGAAACAAGTTTATATTTCTCATTAGAAGATTTTCTGCCCCCCTCCCGTGACTTTTTTGTACAGCAGGTTACAAATCAACACACAGATGGTAAATTGCAGAGGTCCATTCTCATCCTCCTGTCTGATGGGGCTGTAGTTAAACAAAATAAGTCATGAACAAAAGCCAAGCACAGGGTCTGACCCCGTGGCTGAATGGTTAAGTTTGCGCGCTCCCCTTCGGCCACTGGTATTTCGCTGGTTCAGATCCCAGGTGTGGACATGTCAGGCCACGTTGAGGCAGTGTCCCACATGCCACAACTAGAAGGACCCACCCCTAAAATATGCAACTACGTGCTAGGGGGATTTGGGGAGAAAAAGCAGGAAAACAAAAAACAAACCCCAAAACAGTCAGTATCTTTAGAACATACATGCTTCGGATCTGCAAGGTGTTCAACTATGTGGAACTCAAGTCATGAGCTTATCTTAGGGAGAGTCAGTCATTCCGTTACAGAATCCTCTGGCCTCTGGTTATCTTCTTTATCCATCTCATTGACATAATGGTTGCTTTTCAGGGCTAAATCTAGTTTCAAAGGGAGAAACATTAGTCCTCTGCTGTTCTTTCTTTCTTTGTAGAAGCCTTTAGACATTTTGCACTAAGCCTTCTGTCAAGGCTGAATAGATGTGGGATCTGAAAATGCTACTCTTCAAAAGTGCAACCATCTTGGTATTTCGTGAAATGGCACCCTTTAACTGATGTAAAACCCAAGAACCCAAGACATCTCATTATATAAAATAAAGGATAGATCAAAAGAAAGGCATGGGGGTGAGGAGATTGAGATCAAGAATTAAAACTTCCTAAAAAAGAGGTTGACTCTTTCTTGTCAGATCAGCTTCCCAGTTATAATAGCGTGTGGAGGAACCTAGGCGTTATAATGCAGTCCTTGTTCACAAATTCAGTGGGGAGGAACTCTCCTGCTCCCCATTTGTATGTGGTTAGCACTGTCCTATGGAGAGACTTTAAAACTACCTCAACAGAAGCATCCATTGGTTATTTAAAATCCTCCATGTTCATCATTCTTTTGCCTGAAGATCTCTTTCAGCAAAGGAAAATAGAATACGTTTTATACATAAAGACTCTCTCTACTCCAAATAATTGTAATGTATTTGCCAAATAAAAGAAAGGGAGGAAATGGAAAATGATGACAGTGGGCTTGTTATCCTCTGATAACTTTGGAGAGGGCCCAGCATGTTGCCAGTCTTCTTTTAGTACCAGCCGGGGAGGTGCTAGTAGCCTTGATGGGCTGTCAC